AGAGGTGGTGTTACAACAGGAAGAAGGGATGGTAAATAAAGGAACCCAAATTGTATATTATAGCCCATTAAATGAAATAATAAATGTATAAGAATGATAAATGTACAGAAGAATAACAACTATGTGAATGTATACTTAAAAAGCTATGTAAAAGAATAAAAAATAAAAAAAATTCTCAAAAATAATAATAATAGAGCCACTGTTTCCAATTTAGTGCCCATCAGATAGTTTGAACCATATATTTCATGTTAGCCTGGCCTTGGTCCATATTGCTTGGAGATTATTGAATTTGAAGCACATGTAGGTGGACCCCAAAATGGAGAAGGCTGCTGTATGGAAAGTTCAGGCATAACCACATCTTCTCCAACCTCATACCCTCCAGATATTTTAAACCATAATTCTCATAATCTTGGAACTCTCTTAGATGTAGTGCCGTAAACCTCTGGAGGATACCCAATTGGAATATAAGAAATGGATGTGTGAAATGTGCAATTCAACACCAATAACTATGACTAAACAAAAAGGACATATGACTGGGAAGTTTGATGTGTGTGGAGCAGGGGTGTCAAACTTGATTTCAGTGAGGGCTGCATCAGAGTTGTGTTTGACCTTGGGGGCCCGGAGTGGGCATGGTAGGTGTGGCCAGCTCAACGTCACTCGTGTCGGGGGGTACCTGCAGTGCCCCAAGTGCTCTGCCAGAGAAAATGGGCTCCTGAGCTCCATTTTCAGCTGCGACGGCCTCCTACAACCCTCTGCCAGCGTAAACAGAGCTTGGGACGGGGGGAGCATGTGGCCCTCCCGAGCTCCATTTTCAGCTGCGACGGCCTCCTACAACCCTCTGCCAGCGTAAACAGAGCTTGGGACGGGGGGAGCATGTGGCCCTCCCGAGCTCCATTTTCACTGGCAGAGTCACCGCGAGCTAATCCTTCGCTGTTTCCAGGGCGGCCTCGCGGGCCAGACCTAAGCACCCTATGGGCCAGATCCGGCCCTTGGGCCTTGAGTTTGACACCTCTGGTGTAGAGTGTTCATATTGCCCATCTTACCATTGCAGGAGGCTCAGTTGTGTATTACAGAAACCTTGGCAGATGTGGATATAGTTCAATGTTATTTTCTTCCAAGAAATTGAGCATTGGTTGTCTTTAACAAGGCATGGAAACTTGAGTTTAAATTTCTGTTCAGGTGTATTGGTTTTATGTTGAAGGTATTTTACAGCCCTAAATTATGGCCATGGCAAGCATGAACAAATTATGAGTTTTCTCTGCTCTAATTTCCCAAGTTGCTTTTTACCATCTCAGCTAATGTTTGCCTTTATCCAGAACATATGGACTCATTTCCAAACAAAAACTAGACAGCAGTTATTCTTTTTTTTCCCTAAGAGTATGTGGGATTTATGTGGGCCTGGAAACATTTTACGGCTAATTTTGAACTAGTATGCTAATTTCCCATATCGTGAATTATGAATTAAAAGACTAAGTATGGGTAATCCTCGACTTATGACCTCGATAGAGCCCAAACTTTCTATTGCTAAGCGAGACATTTTTATTAAGTGAATTTTGTCCCATTTTATGGCCTTTCTGGACGCAGTTGTTAAATGACTCACTGCAGTTGCTAAGACTATAACACGGTTGTTAACTGAATCTGGCTTCCTCGTTGATTTTGCACGTCAAAAGGTCACAAAATCTGATCACATGTCCCCGGGACATTGCAACCGTCATAAATATGAGTCAGCTGCCAAGCGTCCAATTTTTGATCATGTGATCAGGGGATGCTGCAACAGCCATTAGGATGAAAAACTGTCACAAGTCATTTTTCAGTGCCATTGTAACTTCAAACAGTCACTGAATGAAGTATTGTAAGTCGAGGATTACCTGTACTTAAAAGAGGGGTTGCTGAGCTGGTACCATGTTGGATATGCAGACATGTAAAACCTTGCTTGCTTGATGACCTTGATTCAGTACTGACCATCACTGACCTACCTGACAGTATTGTAAGAGCTGTGGTGGCACAGTGGTTAGAAGGCAGTATTGCTGGCTAACTCTGCTCGCACAGTGTCAGGAGTTCGATTCCTTCAAACCTGACCGACTCAAGGTTGACTCAGCCTCCCATCCTTCCAAGGTTGGTAAAATGAGGACCCAGATGGTTGGGGGAAATATGCTGACTCTGTAAATCGCTTAGAGAGGGTTGTAAAGCACTGTGAAGCGGTGTATAAGTCTACGTGCTACTGCTATTGTTGTAAAGGTAATATTGCAGGAGAATAGCTGTGGTGGTGAGACTCATACGTGGTTCCTGAACTCCCTGTTGGAAAGAAACGGTGTGCTCTTTTTTCCCCTTGCACATTTTTACCTTTGCTAGTGGTCATTTTTATTCGTACAATTGAGAGAATCAGAAACTCATCTACTCCTTTGTACCTAATCATACTTTTTATGATTATTTAGTCCCCCCCTTTTTTTAAATAATGGGGGCTTGTTTTGGCTTCCCCTGAGAAAAAAAATTCTGCTAAGCTGAAAACGTAGAGGGGTTTATTTCACATTATGAGATCCCTCTCAGTACCCAGTTAGCTGATTTTTGATGCAGTGCTGGTTTTCAAGACTTCCCTCCCATCCCATTATATTTGACTAAGCAGCAGGAAGCCTTCCCCACTTTCCCTCCCCCACCACCAGTATTAGACCAGAGAAAGGTTTACAAGTTTAGTAGATGCAGCCCACATAACCTCTCATACGTTTCCGTAGCACGAAGTACCAGTAAATTGTACTGTATTTCATCTTTCCCTGCTGTTGTTGCCAAAGGATCGCGTGCCTGGTTTGTGGGCATAGAGAGGAACACTGTTTCATGCCAAAAGGTGCTGTCTTTCAGGAGGAGTTTACTCCGTCTTAGAAGTTGAAGGAAGGTGTATTTGGCAATACATGTAGGGTATTGTTTTCTGAACTGCCGGCCGTGTCAGACCGACACCGAATGCAAGAGAAAAGTATTGGCTTTTGAGGTCAAGCCTTGTTTGCATGTGTTGCAAATGGTTTCCCCGGGAAACAGCAGATCTGCCCTCCAAGCTTGCTGCAGCATCTTCCGAACAGCATCTTGTCTCTAGACACAACAGAGAGGTACCTTTTGATATTGGGGGGGAGGGGGGGCAACAAAAAACAATGTGGAGGGAAAATGCGGAGAAGAGACCATAACATCTGCGAGCGGACGTTTCCAGAGAATGAAGAAACATACATCGAGAGTGGCACCGTTAGAACCTTTCAGTCTTTCCACATTAAATTCACCTAGATCAGACGGTAAATGCAATTTTATTTTCCTCCTGTGTTATCTTACCTAAAGAAAGGAATTAGCTGCCATTCTATTCTCTGTCTCTCTCTCTCTTTTTCCATTTTTTCTTTTTGAGCCCATCTCTTCCTTTGAAAGATGACCATTTGTAAAATGTTTGAAAATGTAACTAAAAGATTTTTTAAAAGATTGGGATTAACAGCCCCCTAATGTCTGGTTTTTACGGTGTATAAAAACTGTTTTATGGGGAGGGGGAGAAAGAGATTCAGCTGAGGGAGGAAAAGTTGGTTGCCTTTCATTGTTAGTTTGCAAAGTGCTAAACCAGCTCACCCAGTCTGCCTGTGTCATCCAATAGTATTTCAGTATAAAATCTTACCATTTTTCTCTGTTTGAAATGCTGGATTGTGTCACGACAGTCTCCGAAGATTAGCTGCTTATTTGGAGGGTTCGTAGTTTAAAATAGCATGAATGTGCAGGAGGGGGGGGGGGAGAGAACCAAGACGTCTTCCTTCAACAATACAGCAATCAATGACTTTAATGCGGTTCTAAATATGAAGGCAGGCAATTACTCAGGGAGGAGATTTCATCCTTCAGGTACTTTCTGTTCCACCTGTTTGCAGGTGTGTCTGTTGGTTATACATATTACTCCTCTCACTGCTCTTTTTACCACAGAGTTGCAGACTTCTCTGAAGGAGGAATGTCCTCCAATTCCAGCTACCAGAGATCTGAGCAATTTTGACAGCAAGAGAGGCAGTCAAATATCACTTAAAGCAGTGTTGGCAATTACTGACTATGGGTTTGTATTCATAGATGGGCTTTTGGTATAGGATCAAGTTGGTATTGTTTTTGCTCAGGGATCCATTTTCCCCTTTAAAGTTGCCCCCCTATCCGTGGCAAGGTCCCTTGACTGTAATTGCTACAACAGTGAGTACCAACTGCAATTTTCTAGAGAGCCTAAATATAAGATGACTTGGTGGATTTACATAAATGTAGTACAGAACTCATAATCCATGGGATTCCCTGGTGGCTGATGTTAAAACTGATTTTCCCAGAGGATGTGAAGTGGGGTTGAAAGCAAATATATCAAAGATGCTTGGACCAGGGAGGTCTGTATTCAAATTTAGTGAGAGAAGCTTATGTAAACTTTGTTTTTTAAATGCTTAACATTCAGGAAAGCAAAGAAAGTCTAGCATATAGGAAGGAACTTGAGCTAGTTCTTCACCAGGATGAACACATACATGCAGAATTATTTATCAAGCAGGGAACAAAGTTTTGCTAAAGTCCGGGAAGGTAAATATATAAATTTTGAGTCATCAGCACACAAGTAATCATGATAATTAAAACCGAACTTGTTCACCAGCATTGGTGCCACAGAGTCATTCAGGATACTTCCAGTTCAAACTAGAAACAGAGTCTGGTTTACAGCATTGGATTTATTTATTTTTGGTGACAAGCACAACTCCTAGCTAGTTCATTTGTATGGCAAGCAATGATTTGCTGAAAGCAAAGAGATAACCGAGTAATCTGTATTGTTCATAGAAGGTGAAAAAAAGAAGCATAGTTCCAACATTCCTCCAGAATAATAATTATTGTAGGGTTCCGTGTTATGTTTGATTAAAACAAATGAGCATCCTACTTACACTAGATATGAAAGGTTTCAGGTTAGTTTTGGTTTTGAGTTTTAAGATGGGGTTTGATTTTTAAAGTTCATGACGGTTGTGATTTAATTCTTCCTTCTTATGTTGCATTATTATATGGGGTCCTGCTTTATTTAAAGTCAGGACCACCTTAGTAAAATGCAGGCAGGGCCTTGCTTGCTGTTGCTCCAAGGGTTGTGATTTCTCAAAAGAGGCACAAGCTCGGTCAGGACTTAGAAGAAGAAATAATAGCAATAGGACTATAACACATAGACTTATATACCACTTCACAGTGCTTTACAGCCCTCTCTAAATGGTTTACAGAGTCAGCATATTTTCCCCAATAATCTGGATCCTCATTTTACCCACCTCGAAAAGATGGAAGGCTGAATCAACCTAAATAACTTTATTAGCTGAACCTTTTGGACTGGTAACATTTGATAGCTTCCAAGTAAATGTTAAGACTTTTAAAGGATAAAATGGCATTAAAAAAATGTTAGACTTCTTAAATAGAGTAGTCTTAAAGTTGTTAAATAAATTGGCCCTTGTAGCATCTCTGCAATATAACCCAGATTGTGTAATGTAAAGATTTTATGTAGAAATAATAATTAAAAAAACAACAGAAGCACAAATTGTGTGCTGCAAGGATCCTCAGCCTTTTCTCCATTTGAACTGTGCTGTTTATGTCTGACTCTGCTAATTTCTTGGTCTGATGGGCAGACTAGCAAGAATTAGCACAGTGATGCCAGCAATTGCTTGCTAGATCAGACTTAGCCTATACTCATTTAGATGAGTGTACTGTTTCAAACAGTGGTCATCCAGGCATCGGAACAGGAGAAATAGAAAAAAAAGTGAGGGCAGGCCACAAGGATAGAAATAAACACAGCTGCATATCTTTTTCAACTGCACCCATAACTCAAGGAATTACTTGTCATAAAACAGAGTAATAGAATTGGATGGGACATTGGAGGTCTTCTGCTCAAACAGGAGACCGTCTAAACTGATTCATGATTATCCTGTTAGGGTGGATCTTAATAAATTTGTTTAAAAGACAAGTTGTACTGGAATCTGTGGCAAGGTAGGGGACTATTATACCAAGGACCAAGGAAACTTCTTTGTTGCTTTTGCCATCAAAATCTGCAGGAACTACAAAATACATTACTGTACAAATACACCAATGGTTAATTCGCAAAACAAAGGTCTTCTTTAAGTATGCAGCATCCAGAAAGGAGGGATGGATGGCAAGGCAGAAATGTGCTGACAGAAATGGGAGCTTTTTGGCCAAGAAGTCACCTTTAAATTGGGAAATGTGTTTTTACATCAGATAAATTTGAAAGACGCTGCATTTTGATGAAAGTACAGTAGAATCATAGTGCAGGAAATGGCCCTGTGTCAGGCCTGGAAGCCATCTTTTACATTGGTCTCCTGGTCCATTCCCCTGTCCAGAGTTGGCATTCTCTGACTGTCTTGGAAAAATGACTAACCAATCTTTGAAAACCGCTAGTGAAAGAGCCCTTATATTTTCAGAAGGTAGCTATTCCACTACTGAATAATTCTCACAGTCACGAAATTACTCCTTATTTTGAATTTAGATCTCTTTGTAAAGCTTCTGTGTTTCTTTCCTACCCCTTAGCCTTCCCTTTTGTAGGTTAAACAATCACAGCTTTTAAAACCATTATTTACAGATTTTAACCTCCAAGCCCATTATCATCTGTTGTTGCTCTTTGCATTCTTCCAGTTCTTTAACATCCTTCTTGTGGACACAGTATTCCAGGTACAACTCAACCAAAATAGAACTATTACTTCCCATGATCTCAACATGAAATTTTTCTTGATGCAGCCTAATGATTCAAAGGATTTTTTTTTGGCAGCTACAGCACACTATTGGTTCATGTTTAACTTGTGCTGTACCAGGACAACCAACCATTCTCCTCAACATACGTAGCTTGATTATGTTCTGATTTAGAACTCAATGTGCTTGCCCTTTAGGAATTATTTTTCCAAGTACTTGACTCAAACTTATAATTAGTTAAAGTAGGGAGTAAAAAGGATCTAGAAAAAGACCATTGAAAACTACTTACATACTGTTTCCAAGAAAACTACATGAATTGTATGTTCATGAAGCAAATAGCACTAAGTCTAGGCAAAAAAAGACCTTTCTTTTCCCATTTGTTGTATACACAAACACTAGCTGAATACCCATACTTCGCGATGAAATTATGCGATCAGGCAATGCAGGAGAAATCCGGTTCACTCCTGTTCAATCTGTTGGCTCAGTGATGGTCGGTGATTGAAACACATAAGGGAATATCATTCCCACCACCTTGAGTTTGGAAGCAGTTCCTAGGTGGAAGGCGTAGACATTTTCGTGAGGTACCGACGTTTAGTACTGTAAGGAGCTCTAGATCGCACCTGAATGAAGGAGTGGAATGTCTGCCAGCTTGAACTGAGGTAATGGAATGTGAGGCAACTGGCAGTTGGAACAGAGTCCTTTTCAGATGGGGAGGGGGAGTAGAATGTCTAATTCCTTAGCATCAGAGTGTGTTAATATAAGGCAACTGGCAGTTGGAACAGAGTTCTTTGCAGGTGGGGAGGGGGAGTAGAACTCTTAGCATCAGAGTGTGTTAATTACTGTATAAAAATAGTAATGATCTGATGGTCATTTTGACAAATCCTTTCTTAGCGAGCACCTAGATGCCAAGAGGAACATATGTGCCAAATTTCAAGTTTGTAGGCTTTACGGTTCTGGAGATTTTGTGATGAATGNCAAATGTGTTTTATCTTTTTGGTATCTGCATCACACTATTGGTTCATAGACTCAAAAAAATAATCAACTTGCAGTTATAGAACATCTTTTCACATATATTAGTGGCACGCTAGGTCTTCCCCAGCCTATATTTATACCTTTCATTCCCCCCCCCCCCTCCCATGGGTGCAGGACAGTGGTGAGTACCTACCGTTTCGGAATGGTTTGGCTGAACTGGTAGTGGTCTGGCTGCCTGGATCGCTGGAACTGGCAGTGACCCAGGACTGCCTTGCCCCTGAACCAGTTCTCTGGGTGCTGCCGCTGGAACTGCCGCTGGGTCTGCATGCGCAGACCAATTTTTATTCTATTGCGCAAGTGCATGCAGCATGCATCAAGCAGCACGTCCATGAATGAACCGGCAGTAGTGACTGCCAGAATCCACCCTTGGTGCAGGACTTTACATTTGAACCATTGTTCCAACTTATCTAGCTGTTTTGAAATAATCTATTTGTCTTCTAATGTGTTTAACCACTTTGTTGGGTCAAGCAAAACAGCCAGTTGGAAGATGTCCTAAATTAGGATGGGAAGCAAGAAATTAGCATAAGAGGGAAGAAAAGAAGGAGGACAT